TTCTGCTAAAGCTTTTCCTTAATGAACGCTCAGGGTAGATCTCCGCGTCAGCGCGGTAAGAGCGGGACGGCCGTGCCAGGTATCAGATTATCCGCTTCCACCTGGATTTATTTGGAGTGGCATTGTGCTTGTAATTGCTGTGTTTACGTCACCGTCCAATGGGGCAGCAGGTTAAGGAGCAGGGCGTCTTCCTCTGTCATACCCAGGGAATTCATTAAGAAGGGAGGGAATTCGAAGTCGGCTGATTTGCTGGAGCTTAATACCCACACGTCTATTTCCTATACCCGGTTTCTGCAGTGCACAAATATATGTGAGGTCCAGTGCATGCGGCAGGGGATCCATCCATCCATCCATCCATCCATCCATCTTTTACTTGCTTATCCAGGTCCGGGTTGGGGGCGGGGTGGGTTGGCGTCCTTGAGCTTTAAAATTTAGCTTTTTCCCTTATTGCTCCGGTCGGCGTTCATTAAGTCGCGTGGAAATGCAGCAGCTGTATACCTCTCTCAGATCTGCACCGACTCGCACGCTACACTTCTGTTAGCGCCGCTCCATCGCAGCGCCACACCATCTGGAACATACCGGAATCTGTCTCCCCTTTAATCAGCAGAGGTCCGTCAGTCGTGTACGGATGCAACTTTGGAGAGAACCCCCCCCACCACCACTTGTACATCTACGTGCCCCCACTTCATATCCGAAGAGCAGAATTGTACCCAAGTATCCAATCGGGCCGCAGTTTATTCTCCCGATGGTCCTGAACGCAGTTCCCCTCACATAAACCCAACTGGATAGGGCCATATGAGTCAATTAACCCGGACAAGGCCAGACCATCATTGTGGACTGTGGGGGCGCCTCACTCCCGGCCCTGAGCGACTCTCCGCTCCAGGTCACCCCCCCACTGTGCCTCCAGCCGCTCTGAGTCCAAATGGATCCGCCAGCAGGCCGCCTTATTCAATTCGCTCTACATCAGCTTCAGGTGAATCGGACGTGAACCCTAGAGCAGCTTGAAGTCCCTCAGTGCTGTAACGGCAGGCCGAGGTCATTAGGCGGGAGAAGGCGGGCCCTGTTTTAAGGGGCAGGGCATGTTGAAATTTATTCTTCAGTCAGAAAGCGTGGGGGCCCGGAACACACACCGCGAGGGTTTATCCTGCGAACACAGCACCCCACAGCACCCCCGAAGGTGTATCGCAGTCTGATCCTAAAGTACTCATTAAAAATCGAGCATTAACATATTCCGCGTGGCCCATAGAAGGAGGGGGCCGGCAGCCCTGATGGTAATCCCTTTAAGAGGTGGCAATACGGGGGCACTGGATTATGCCCGTCCCGCCGTTAACGCAGGGAAGAAACCCTTGATAACCAATGCACTCGCAGCCAACTCAGCAGGGGAATGTGTTTACATTGGTTTGAGTTAGCAGGAGTTCAGCCCAGGGGGGGGGGGGGGGGGGGGGGGGGTGGGTGTATCATTAGCTTACAGACAGTGTGTCACCAAAACAAAATTACCATGCTTTTGATTTATTTACTACTGCGTGTCCATGTATCAGTATCTCACATAGCTGCTCGATATGCCAGATATGTGAGATATATTTATTAGGGCATCTGTTAGGGGGTCTTTTTGGCCACGACCTACGCTTCACTTTTCTTAAAGGGGATTTCTCTCCGTCCTTAAAGGGGTTTTCTCGCCGTCCTTAAAGGGGATTTCTCTCCGTCCTTAAAGGGGATTTCTCATCGACTGTAAGCATCCCGGCCCAGAACCGTATTCCAGTCACACGGAGGATGTCGCCTCCATTCAGGGGGCACTGGTTTCCTGTATTCGCATTCAGACATGGCCTGCGGAAACACCGCAGTCTTCGGAGCGACCCAAACCGGGTTGGGTGTCGTCTGGTCAACTTGGCTCGGCTGGGGGCTCAGACCCCTCGGAAACCCGTAATATCACGTCACACGGGTGCATTATGTAGCCAGTGCTGTGACTCGTCTCTTTGTTTTCCATCTCAGCCCAGCTTATTCCAAAGAAGAGAGTGTATCAAACCAGTGTCCTTGGTAAAGTGTCGGCTGGTGAAGGGATCTAAGTGAATCTTATTGGGGACAAAAAGTGTTGGGGGTTCGAATGCTGCCCCAGCGTGTCTTTGCGTGTGTGGTCATATGTCCCCATGATGTGATAAAAATATGTTATTTTGACGTTGTGGTACCAATTTTTTCGGTCCTCACAAAGGGAAGCTCAGTTTTATAAAAATCTGTGACTGCAAAACTAACTGCTTGGTTACTTGTGGTTAAGGTTAGGGCTGGGTGGGGGTTAAGGGTGTCATGGTTGGGATTAGCGTTTTTCCCATGGAAATGAAAGAACGGTCCCCACAAAGATATGAATACAAACGTGTATGTGTGTGTGAGTGAGTGTGTATTTCCTCTAGTTATTCCTGATTTTTCCCTCGGTCCAAAAATATGGCCTTACATGAACTGGTGCCTCATGATTGTGAATGTACCGTGTGATGGACTGGCATCCTGCCCAAGGTGTCCTGTAACTTGTGCCCCGTGATGGACTGGCATTCTATTAAGGGTGAGGATTAGTGACCCAAAGATAACCAGTTATTAGGAATGGAATGGAAACATGAAAAAGCATGTACTTGAGAAAATATTAAGCCTGCGGTGGATTCGATGCAACGCCAATAAGTGCGGTAGAGAACCAGCTGCAGTCATTTTCGGCGTGTCAACGGTCCTCTCTTACTGTTTGGTGTTCATCCATCATCCATCTTCTAAGTGCTTATGCTGGTCAGGGTCATAGGTACCTGGCAGCACCGGGAGCAAAGCTTGGCTACGTTTGTCTTGGAGAACATCTGGCATACATCGAGTTTGTAAGTAGCGCCTGACAGATGTCGGGGGGAGTGGAGAACGACAGAATGGGCTGCTTGAAGGAGGGAGATCGCTAGTCACCTTAATGATCCGTTATTTCGGGGAGCCAAATATTACGCCCGCAGAGATCAATACTCTCCATTACTGCCGATGGATTTTCCGTCCCTCCCGCCGCCGCACCCATGCAGCGGGGTCACCGCCTCCTGTGTGTCCTGCCGTTATTCGCCCGCTTCCTTTATCTCGGGGAAGCCGACCTCGTCCCAATCCTCACGCCGCACCTCTTAACGGCACGGCGTCGCCTTTCTGCTAATAACCTCCTCTATTTTCCCAACAATTAATTGTTTTTACCAGATAGACCATGAAATGAGCAATTAATTTAAGCCATCAAGTCGCATTTCATGGCGCGGCTTTGACGGGAAGCGCTAAAAATAGCCGCGAAATCCCGCCAGCGACGGCGGCGCACATGCTAATGAAATGCAATAATGCAATTGTTAAGCCGTGTAGACGGAGATTCGGTGCCGCTTTTGGGTTTTCGCGCGATTGGACGCCATGTTTTGGGCTGGCTGCCCTTCATGTCGGCGAGCCATAGTGCTGGCTGCAGATTCGTTGAGTAGCAGGAGTCTTCATTGGCTTCTGCGTACCGATGCCCCGAAAAATTCTGCACTCAAGATGTTTTAGGGGAAGGAATACATTGAAATATAGATTTTTTTTTTTTTTTAAAGAAAAAATACCAGCAAGAAACTAACACTTATTACAGGGTAAAAGGTGCTAATTAGGGAAAATGAACAATTCATTGAGAAAAAAAGAAACATCTTAACGAGGTTGTTGTTCAGTATATGCGGAAGCTTTGTGAGTGCAGATGTTCGGGGTGTTCAAAGAGATTCGGAGAGTTTTAAATGGTAGATAGTGTGCTGCTGTAAAAATTCAAAGGAATCTATTCAGAGCAGCTGAATTGGAGTTTTCGTGTATCTGACGGAGCTGCGCTATTGATAAAATAGAAATTCATGCAGTCGCATGCTAACGTTAATGAAAAATTAAAAGCTCCGTTTAACTTTGATGCAAGGGGTGTTTGAAGCAGGACTCTGCGTCCCCGGGGGGACACCTGATAAGTGGTTGACAGAAAGTGATTTTTTTTTTTTTTTTAGAACGTCAAACACAGATGGATTTTACGTTTACTTATTTATAACTGGTGATGGTGTAGAATTTACAGTATATGGGAGCCATTTTATTGTATAAATAATTACTGATGTTTCTGGAAGGGAAGGAATAAATAAATTAAGCTGTGAAAGAGAAAGGAAGTGCAGGTCTGCTCGCACCGCTGCTCTCTGCGTTTGGGTGTGTTCTCCCGCGTTCTCGCGCCTGCCGGCGTCACGGAGGTGCTGCGCCATAGCCGCGGCTCGCCACATTAACTGCAAATCACCCGGATTTCGGGCCAGAGGCTCCCCGACCGGAGAACAATGCAGACGGAAATCTCCAACTCAGCACAGCTGCGCCCGTGAATGGAAGACATCGAATCGACGTTAATTAGTCGTAGAACAGTAGCTAGGTTAATGACTTTGCAGATAAAGAATGCCCCCCTTCGCTAAAGTTCAATTATTTTGAACTAGATAAGACAACTATAATGTAGGGCGTTCTCAGATTGTGTGCATTCATGTAACTTCAGAATGATGTTGATGAGTCAAGCTATCTGATGAAATAAAGGGGAGGCTCCGGTAGTGAGTATTAAATTATAGATAGCTGCAGTATAGTAATACTCCTGGTTACAGAAGCATATTTTTCACAAACCAACCCTGCATACTTTCATCGGGCTAACGTTTGAGACGCTTGAGTTAACTCATTGAGTTGGCGTCTCCTGTAGGCATCCGCCATCTCCCTGCCAATGTAGCAGATTCGCCACCACACTCCACCTTGTGCTACTTTGCGTCCACTTGGGTTTGAGTGCCCCTGGTGTTCAAAAAAGGGAATTGCTCCTATCGCCAGAGCAAACCTTTCACCAAGATGTCCACCGCCATCGAGAGTCGGATGTCATTCTTCTGTATTTTGGATGCATTCCTACAAGAAGGGCGCATGCAGGCTCCCATGATCAGCTGTCCTGCCATCGCAGGGAGGGGGTGTGGATGCCTTGTGACTGTATGCTCTCCATATCTCCCCCCACCCAGGCCCACCGTGTTTCTGGTCTCTGCCGCTTTCCTTCCCGGGGACCACAGAGGCTGCGGAGACAGACAGCTGCACGGGGCCTCGACGGGGATGCTCGGACCAGGGTCGCCTCCGCTGCGGGGTGCCATGCGGGCCACACAGGTGCTGATCCTCGCCTCCCTCCTCGCCCCCGCGGCCCTTGGTAAGCCCCGCCTACTCCCCCCTGCCTGCATCGGCCTTCCAGACACACATACTCAAATGCACTAATGCACAGAATCAGAAAATTTAGGTTTCACTGGGTAAGAAACGGTGCTGTGGAAGAAAGGATCTAATCGTATATCTTTGGGCTGTGACCTTTAAATAAATACAAGAAAATAAACTTTTTTTTTCCAGATTTCAAATATATGTCATCAAGATCTTGCAAGAACTGCAGTGTTTGACAATCTGATTCAAGTTAACCTTACTAATGTATTCGGTATAACCTGCATGTGACCTGTAAACTAACTAATTTTCTCCCATCACCGTAGTTTAATCTCTTTTTTTTGACACCGACCTCTCTCAGTCTGATTCTGCAGTTTGCTCACTGCTTGCAGGATAAGATCGCACTTTTGTTGTTTTGCACTTGTGGTCAAGCTTTTGGTCTCAGTTTTCTGTTTTGTTTACGTGTCTAATTACGGTAACGGAGCGCCGTGCGAACGTATCTTATTTATAACATGGCAGTAACAGAGTGAAACGATATGTTCCTTAAAGTCGACATTACTGAGGCACGGAGCCCTGCCGACTGTTTCTCCGTACGCAGGAAGTGAAAAACAGCGGGTGTCTCAGCCTCAGGCGGCTCTACAATTTGTCGCCTTTGTTGCTGTGGTCCAGATGCGGCCCGGTCTGCCTTATTTATACAAATGCGTCCTGTCTCTCGCCTCCTTCGATAATGGCAATGATTCTCACTCATTCCCTGATGGTTGCATTTCAGCATCAAAAAAAAAATTATACATGATCAAAGGCTGGGCTGCAATTATTATTTTTAAAGATCTACATTACTGAGAAAACATAACGAAGGGCGAAGGAATATATGGTCTTTGGCAGCGGATGGTGTCGAATCAAAACAGCGCGGACGGACGGAGAGAGCCGTCGGGGGAATGTGGAATATCTCCGCGCCGTTTCGTGTTCAGTTCCGCCGTGATGAGGAACCCCACACAGGAACAATGTGATGCATTCGCCATTCATTTTAGCACATTATTAGGCTCATTTTGATACATCGAGGAAGGTTTTAGGTGACCACAAGTCAAGAGGGCGGCAATTAGTTCAACGCGTTGGCGTTGAACACGGCATGTGGCTCGGGTAGGTGGCTTAGGTTTACCGTGGTGACTGTATACTATGACACAGGTTTCATAAATCTAACAGTGCCAGGTCTGCCCGCCATTTTAGCCCGCTGCAAATGCCGTGGTCAGCTACTCCATCCAAGCTTGGTGTCGATGTGGACATTCCCGAGGGTCTAGAGCACCTTGGAAGGAGGGGAATTTGGGGGGCCCTTCTCCCTTCCAGCTTCAGCCAGGCGATCTCCGACGTTTGCCTTCGTAGGCTTGGCGAGGTGAAGTTGGCCCTTATTATGTTTGTCTTGGGTTTAACTCGCGTTTCCCGCATCGGTATCAGGAGGAGCTGCCATTATCACGGGATAAGGCTTCGTATTTATTTTCGTACCGCTAATTATTTGCTTTCAGGCCAGGTTTTGTTTACCATTACCACATCCAGTGACACATCTGGGATATAAAATGCTCAGCCAAAGTCCACATACGACCGCCAGGTCCGGCTTGTGTCTGTGTGGGCTCTGGGTGACACTGAGTCCACTATCCATTAGCGCCGCCGGCTAATAGGCTTCACCTCATGACATGCTTATCATCTAGTCACGACAGTTATTATTTATCTTATACACATGATTGATTACGCAAATTCTGCAATTCTCCCAAACCCAAGAGGATGCACCGGAACAAGGAGGCGAATGAGGCATAGCAGTTATGCAGATGCACCCCCATTTCCACCAAAATATTCTCAGATTCTGGGGATAAAAATGGAATTAGAAAGAGGATCTCTTCGCAAGTGCCGTAGACAAGGGCATGCCGTTGTCATTGAAATTTTTCCCAATGTGCATTGCTTTAGTTTATATTAACCCTGGCTGACCCCTCAACGACCAATCCGGTTAAGCGATTCGGTTCAGGACTTTAAGGTTGTGCAAGTGGTGCGGAGGTCAAAGGGTAATCGACGAACTATGACAGAAGAGTAATGTCACCTTCAGTCCCCTCACGGATGCTATATAGAGTTCGCCTTGGTGAAGGAGTTCCCCTTTGTATTGGGGAAACCTGTCTGGATTCTGAGAATGTTTGACCCCTAAGAGTGCATGACCAAAAGAATCATTTAAATCTACAGATAGCAAGCCCGTACTTTGTTGTTCTTTAGTTGACCAAAGCTTTGACTGGAGGATGATAAGCCATTCTGTCTTTCCTGGGGGGGGGGGTCACATCATGGAGGTGACCCCCGCATCGGTATCAGGTGGTCACTGATGGTGGGGTAAATTACCCTGCTCTGCGCCACCCACCTTCCCAACCTCGTTTGTCTTAAAGGTAATGCGAGTTTTTGTCAGCTCATAAAAGCACTGCCTTTAAGATATACGCGCGGCACCAGACGGCAAAACTGAAGGGATGACGTCTTCGCGTTCTTTTTTTCCCATCAGATATGCTGGAAAGGATAATATTGATCTTTTTTTTTTTGAGTTTCTAGTTTCAGCCAACAAACGCGGACTATTCCTGGAATTGGGCGATTCTTTTGCGGTTACCCGCGAACAGGTGCGAGCCGTTCGGCACCGCCCTAACTTGCTCCCAGCGCATGCGGGGATAAGTTTCACACTTTCGCCCGTCGTTTCTGCGTCTCGCCACAAGAAGGCAAGCAAACAAGTATCAGCTCTTCCTTTGTGTGGGTTTTAATTGAATTGCATCTTTGCCTACAGGACTAAATTTAGCTTTGACTTTCTTTAGAGAAGTTTTTTCATTAATAGAACAATGTTCTCCAAATACCCTGTTGTGTGATTTTATATATATATATATATATATATATATATATATATATATATATATATATATATATATATTTGCTTGTGTCTTTCTGGGCATTAGAACAATAGAAAGCAGGTACAGTGTTAAATCTATGCTGAGGGAACAGAGAGGAACCATCTGCTTAGGACTGTTAAAATTCTGACTCAGTGGGATTAGGAAGAATGAATAAATTATGCAGACAATGTGAAAAAGCAAAGTAAATGGTGGCTTTGGGGCACAGGCACCAAAGTTAGATCTGGCTTTGAACAAGGCTTTTTCCAGGGTGACACACAGGCCCTGGGTGGGCGGTTTAGAATGTGAATGCGTGGGGGGTGGGGGGGTGGGGGTCTTCGCTAAACCACTTAAAATGAGCGCTTGGCATCAGATGGCTCTTTGACCTCTGCATGTGACAGATTTCTCTGTTTATCTGCAGTATCATGGCAGATTAAGACGATAGGCAGGGATTTCAGCTCCACAACCAGCCGCGACTTAATCTCAGTATGGCACACAATAATTGCCTCGGATTCGGGACGTCGCTTTTTTATGAGAAACGGCAGCGAGGCTATTTTGAGGCCATCCCTCTCCACCGTTTACGCGCGTACGCAACGAAGTGCGTCTTGTCTAAGAGCGTAAACTATGCGGCAGCCCCTCACCGGAAGCACATGTGCCCTCAAACACGAGAGGCACCTTTGAGATGCAGATTCATCCAGACGCGGTGGAGGACACCCACACGGACGCAGGGAGAACCTTCAAGACCGGGAATGGGATTTGAACCGACGAGCCGCGACGTGTGTGGGGAGCACCACCCACGGAGCCACAGTGCCAGCCAAAAAAGTGACATCAGCGAATTCAAAAGAAGTTCTACCAGGCGTGTTGCTCTGTGGAGACCCACCAACAACAAGGCTGATGTCATGGTGCTAATGATAGTTCTAAATGAATCCAGACACTCACGAGCTGGAAAATAAACAAATAAATGAAAGGCCCCTGCTGATTGGTCACCTGAGGAACACTGGCATGAAGGTACAGAAATGCTGATTGGCTATTGTGAAAATACTGCTCATTCTGGGTTGGGTTGGGCATCCATTTTTTATAAGGGGGGAAGCGTGTCTACCTCAGGTGTCGGGGTAACATGTGTAATGACGATGTATCAGGCAGATCCCGTGTGATTCCTTAGGTATATTACGGCTTCATTAAACAGCACCCATGACCAGAAACATAAGGAAAACAGAAAAGATGGGCAAACTGAGCATTTTTTCTGCGCGTAGAATAATATACACATCTTTGTCGCGTGTAGGTTTTTTTTTTTTCCCCACCAATTGAGGAGGAAAAGAAAAATCAATATTTCATTTGCAAGCTGAAAGTGGCTTTCAAGGCCAAGCTGCTGTATCTTACGCTGCCAAAGTGCTGTCAAACCGTCTGAAACATATGACAGCAGCATTAGCCGCGCAGGCTTTTTGGAAACAGGTTAAACACTCCCAAGTTTTATAGTTGTTCTGAAGGGCATGAATATCTTATAAATTAGACCCCGATCCTCGATTGCTCCATTTCAAGTGTCGAAAGATGCAATTTAAAGTTGCTTATTGAAGCAGAGTGCTGTTTAATGAGAATGGATATTGACAGAGGGGTCGCGGGAATCTGGATGTTAGTTTACACGAGGTGGCAGGATACACACAACGGCCCAGAGGCCAGCAGTGATATCATAAATATTACAGTCTCCTAACCTGTAAAGGCGCTCACTGTTAACCTTCATTAAAATGCAGTTATATACGTATATAGCTTATAATATAATTACCATGAGCCTGTTCTCAGTGATATATCATTGTAATAAAAAAATAACTAAACATGATCAGCACCCTGAATCCGAAGAAATACTGCTTCAGTAATAGGTAAAACTGTCAAATGTGTTCTAACACTGGCTTAGTTTCCGACTTGCTAATTAGCCTTAGTTAATGTGTTTATTCAGTTTGATAATTTTCGGTTTATACTGTACAAACTATAATTTTCCTGTTTATACAACCGGGTGCTCTCTGAAGTAAGTAATTCATCAAACTCTTTTCATCGTTCGCATTTGGGGAGTGGGTTTTGTTGCGGTCTTTGCCGTAAAACCATTCTGAAGAGG